GTTATTTCTGGAAAGGTGTTAAAAACTGCCTCTCTTTGGAATCATAATAATAAAAATTCATTAGAAAAAAAAAGGTTATAGAAAACCCTCCAGAGAACAGTGGTGTAACTGCAGCTGCTGCAAGTGGAGGAAGCTGGGCTAGCCAGGGAGGTTCCTCTGTGCCTCAGAAAACTGTAATCTCTTCGGCAGGACCAATACACTTTTCTGAGTCTGAAGCTATAAAAGATTCTTTCACCTCTTCTCAACGACAGTGGCCCTTTCAGATCACTGGATGGATTTGTTTCTACAGAGCATACTCTAAAGTTGACCGTAGGTGGGGCCTATAGACTGTCTGGCTCCTGACCCTCTTCACACACACACTAGCCCTTTGGTGTTCTTTCCTATGTTCTTTGGATTGTGCCTTACAGGCCTCTGGTGAACTTGTATCTCACACATGTTCAACAACTACCTGGTTGTTTCTATGTTGGTAAGGAGCTGGGTTTCTTTCTTCCCAAGGTGCTCAGTATCACTACTTGTACCTCCTTTCCCACTATGTAAGAGGCCAGGTAAATGGATCTTAGTCTGAAAGAAACTCTAGTTTCTTCTTTCTCTAACTGTAAAATAAGTGGGACTCCATCTACTTTTCAACTCAGACTACTGTCAGGTTTATTTGGTTTTGTTTTGAAACAGAGACTCACTGTGTAGTCCTGGATGGCCTGGAATTCACTATGTAGACCAGGCTGGCTTCAAACCCACAGAGATCACTTGCTTCTGCTTCTCAAGTGCTGGGATTGAAGGTCTGTGCCACCACCCTGGCTGTTACTGTGCAGTTCTTAGTCATGTTTATGAACTGCTTTTAACATTTTCTTTTGTGTGTTGTTCCATTTCTTCATCCTAGAAATCCCACTATACTGTGCTTGGAAATGCTTTTAAGGAGCGCTTTGTGTATAAACTACACCCTAAACCAAAGATCTACGATAGTTTTGAGAAGAAAGCAAAAATATTCTGTGCCAGACAGAACTGTGGCCATGACTGGGGGATCCATGTGAGATACAAGGCATTTGAGATTCCAGTCATAAAGATAGAAAGTTTTGTGGTGGAAGACATTGCAACTGGCGCACAGAACCGGCACTCCAAGTGGAAGGACTTTCATTTTGACAGAATACAATTCGATGCCACAGACATGTCCAAATGACCCAGGGCCTCCTCAGTCTTGCACTACAGGAAATGTCAACGTCAAGTGAAGAAGCAGTTAACCAGGTTATTTTTACCCAGGATTGTTTGCACAGCTGTGATGTTTTTGCATAGGCTTATACCGTATTGAGTATCAGCTGGCCTGGCCAGTTTGTTTTCAGCAGCTCTGTTATACACAGAGGTGCACACAATGAATTTCAGCACTGAATACTTTATTCACCTACGGACTCATAGCATTTGGGTGGTAGAGTCTTAAAAAAATCTCGCTTACATTCTTTTCAGAACAGCCTGCCAATTACTCAGTGAGTGGTGAACAGTGCTGAGGTTTCCTGTACTGCTGTCTTTGCTCAACCCACTGTAAACTGGCTTTTACCACAATAATCTACTGCAATGTTCTTTTCAAGGCTGCTGGTGACCAACTGCCAAATCCAATGGGCCCTTCTTGGTCCTTGTATTCGACCTTTCTGGCTTCTGTGCCAGTCACTCTCCTCTTTGGACTCTCTCTTCACTTCTGTCTCTTAGATTTTTCAGGTCTCTTTTCATTGGTTCCTCTTTGCTGACACTTTAAGTGTAGGTGATTGCAAAGGTTCAATATGTACATGTGTATGTATTAAAGTAACATACTCACATAGTCTTTATAGTCATGTGTGGCATGGAAAATTTTAAACACTGTGGAAGACGGTTTTTAGTAGTAATGGCACATCAGTGCTGCACGCTTGCTGAGAAGGTATTTCTAGTCTGTTTATTTACTATATATCTTAGTTTGTTCCCTTTCCTCCTTTCAATAGTCATCTCAAGTTGTTTGTCAATAACAGTCAATTCTTAACACTTGGACTGTTTCCAGTTAGGTCCCCAATAAGGTAGTTTAATTTAGCTGTCTTTTCTACTTAA